GTTTCCCGTCTCAAATCTGTTTTCTGCATTATTCATTCGCTTATTACCCACCAGTCTACCGTTGTTTACAGCGCTTTTTCTTTTTCCACTTAAATGACCTCGGACAAGAAAGCCTAATTTCTGCTGTTCAATACTGAAGAAATTTAAATTTCTTAAAATTATGCAAATTTGTAGAATATTGCAGAATATTTTTAAGGTTATCTGCTATAAAAAGCCAGACCAGGAAAATCTCCTTCATGTTTTTCTGTGTTTTATTCTCAGTTACTTTCACACAAAGGCATCTGCTGTGATTTTCACAATTCTGATGAAGTCTCATGTGTATCAGTACTGATAAATAATCAGAATTAAAATATTTCTGACTGTCTGAGGCTAAACTGAATCAAATCAGGACTTTGAGAACCGTAATCGAATGGATTATAGAAATCAGTGATGATACCCAGCCCTAGTGAGCAGCCTAGGCCTGAGAGAAGTGGATGTAGCTGTGGGCAATAAGAAAAGATGAAAAGAACTATTGATAACTTTTTTGTTAAGTTAAGGCCTGATCTGTCTGAAATTCATAGCCAGTGCTCTGACACGGTGCCATCAATCTTTGAATGCTGAAAAAGCACAGTGTATCCAGAAAACACATTATATGCTGCAATAAATGCACTGCCCAAGTGTCCCCTCTCCCCACGGCCTTTCAGCAGCAGACAGCAGCAAACAGGTTGTCAGAGGAGGCCAAGATGATGATTAAGTTTAACATTTTTTACAATATTGACAAAGCACTTGAAGCACAATTTTGTTAGTTAATAATTTAGAAATTAATATTGTCTGTATGGACTTCCTCCCCCAAAGAAAGTGCACATGTAAAACTGCGGTGTTAAGCGATGCGGTTGAAAAATTTGAGTGCGCCTAACTTTTGTGCCTGTACGCCTAAATTTTTAAAGTTAGGCGTATCGGTGCGCCCATGTCAAAAAGTTAGTCTAGAGCCCTGCTATTGTATATAGATGGCTCAAAGTTTTCTTGATGTTTTTGAATAAGGCAGGTTCACACAGTATTTACACAGTAAACACAATCACAAAGACATAAATAGAAGCAGTATAAGGTTTAATACATCAATAGACAAGAGAAAAAATACTACAGATTTTTTTGTTTATTGTAATTTTTTTTAAGCTTTTAGCACTTTCATCTTTTTTTCTCCCCCAAAGGGAGAGACTATGTAATTCCATTTGTTCATTTGTCTTTCCGTCTATCTGTCTGACAGATAGAAAAGATTTGATGCTCAAATTTTGTGTGATGTTATAAACCCATAACAGCTAAAGCTGATTACATTTTGGTGAAAATCAGGTCAAGGTCACACACCAAATGTAAAAAGCTTTATATTATCCACAGGTTTTTCATGGATCATCTTCAAACTTCAAACCAATCTACCAGGCCTTGAGGGCATGAGTACCTCAGTTGGCTTAAGTGGTTGACCTTGACCTTGATCATTAGCTCCCAAGGTCAAAGTTGACCTTGGAAAAAAATTAAAGACACCAAATTAACTATAAGATATATGATGAAAGGTCATGGAGAGAGCTGTACGACATACTTTTTATTTTGATAAAAGTATTTGATAATCACACACTGCCTAAAACCATCACCCTTCAGCACCATGCTTGAGAGCTGGTATGAGGTGTTTGTGCTGATATGCTGTGTTTCACTTTCACCAAACATGGTGTGTATTATGGCCAAACATCTCCACTTTGGTCTCATCAGTCCAAGTGGCACTGTTGCAAAAGTCTTTTGTTGAGATACAACTTTTCTGCCAGATTCTTTTTTAGAAAGAACAGGATTTCTCCTGACAACCCTTCCAAACATGCTATTACAGTTCAGTCTTTTCCTAACTGCACTGTCATGAACTTTAACATTTAACATCCTAACTGGGGTAGCTCTTGGGTTTTCTTGCAATTTCTGAGCATTGCACAAACTGACCTTGGGGTGAATTTGCTGGGATGTCCACTTCTGAGAAAACTGTAGCATTGCGCTCCAGACCAGCAGGCTGTCAAAACTTATTATTTTATTCAGATGGTCACACTTACTGAAGATCAGTTAATCAAGTGTATCTATATAGCAACACCTGCCTGCTACTTACCCTTTTATTCCTAATGGAACCAGTAAGTGTGCTATTATTTTTTCACAAGAGTGCATAGAGATGGAAAAGTGATATGTTTGCTGTGTGTGGTCATTTCTGGACTAAAATGTGTGAGCCCTTAAGCTAGCAGCTTTTATAATTACTATAAGGAAACACCCTCTAATGGTTGCTATCAAGCAAGCATTAGAGGGTTTATAATGCTTGCTATCTCTGTAATATAGCAGACGTGTGGAAATCCAGCCATTTTTTATTTAAATTCATTCACTTTTATTCAATTCAACTTTTAACCCCAGACTCATTTGCAACACATCAAGACATAAAAAAAGATATTATCCTTCTCTAGAGCCACAGTATTTTCAAAAACAAAGTCAGGGAAATTACATAATGTGGAATTGCTAATGAATGAAGGGTAAAAAGAAACATCCTCTAGGGAATGATTTCTCATTATAATTCTTCCACACCATAAGACATGAATGGCCACTATAAGAACGTGCTTAATTCACTTCTGCACAAAATTTTTTTAGACACTTATTTAAAAAATAAAATAAAATAATAAAACCACTCCTAAGTATTCCATGTCACCCAGCAGATAGGGACTGCGGGTCTCTGTCACAGTGGATGAAACTAAAAGTTATTAAAAGTTAAGAAAAAAGGCTTTGGACACAAAAGAGCTACAGCAAAAGCAGCAGCAACATGGCTCTTAAAAGAAAGAAGCAATTTTCCACTAAATAACAGGCTTATGTTTAATAATTCAGAGAGCATAACAGTCCGTTTGAGAGGAGGTTTTCTAATATTCATGTGACATGATAGCCAAGACAGGAACTCTGGCTCTCACTGGGCACCGTGTTATTCATACTGTGAGGCACGTCTGTTTTGTAATTCATAGCCTTGGCTTTAAGTCAAAGACAATTCTAGATCAACCCAGTGTTTTAGCAGAAAACCCAAGAATTATCCAAAACAACTCTAAATCTAAGGTAACCCAGATAACCAAAACTGTCAGCTTTTACCAGGGAGCGAAAACCTGCATTTTGTTTCAAAGGGGGAAAATGGCCTTGAAAAAAAACCATTGAGGTCATATAGTCAATAATCCACTGACCAAGTGCTACCTAGGAAAATATTTTCAAGGTGAAGAAGGTGTCTGCTTCAAATGTGTGGCTTAAGCAGGCTTTAGGGTCGGTACAACTGCTGGTGTCAGAAACCCCGTTACATCACACCTCTCTCCTCTCTAACATCAGGTAGGGGATGCCTCTGTCAGCCTATATAAATTTGCAAAATTGATGACTAGATCGTCTACGCTAAGAAATGCCCACTCCGGGAATCAGGTTATGTTAGACTTTCTCTTTGTCGATTTTAAAAAGGATAGGGTTATAAAAATTATGTCATAATGTACCTACAATTTATTTAATCTGTCTCTTTTTCCATTAGCACTAAAACAGTTTTGAAGTGGAAACATTTCTCCCAGGGGAAAGGATCAAAAGTTGGCAAAAGCATCTTAAAACAGGACTTTCCAAGCCTGCCAGGAGTGGCTTCACCAGAAGGAAATCCTGGAGGCTGCCCTTCTTTTGCACAAAGGTGCAGCTGCAGCCTTCTGTGACCCATGGTCCCAGACTCACTTAAAGTCTTTGAGTGAGGATTCTACCATGTAACGCTTGATGTTATGTTAATAAAACAACTGTCAGCTTGAGCACTGTCCTTGAAAATGATTCAGGTCAATTACTCGATGTTACTGTAGATGGACCTCGGAGTTGTAATCTGTCAAAAATGACATGCTTAAAAAAAACTGTATATATTTTTTTAAATTATTATAACTCTACTGCCTCTGCTGTAAAGTGTTCCTCTCTTTCTAGCCCTTGTTCTTAGTTTGTTACACACACACACACCTTTGTGGCACTTAGATGTGATCGACCAAATGGAAAATATTTCTGAAAGTTTGCGTCATGATCACTATTTTTAAACAAGATTCAAGCGCTGAGAGGCCATAAAAAATCTTTATCATCATTACAGTGTGACGTCTGGCTATCTGTCACTGCCTTTTCTCTCTTGAACACCCTCTTTCATGTAAGCTGACCAAAGTGCTATCTTTATGCGATGGTACCTGGTTAAAAAAAAAAAGTTAAAATACTAGTTGACAAATGACACATCTTTGCGTCACTTTACATGGCAGAGGGCCCACGCAATGCTTCCTGATGTCCCATCATCTCACTATAATTACTATATCTCTGATCTCTATTTCGCATTTGGCTGTCATTCTCTATTATACTGTTTATCAGCTGTAACTTTTTATTCTAGCACCAACTGCAAACAACTGTTTGATTTTCCCCACCAAAGACTTCTTTAGTCATCATTCAAGTTTTAGTATCTCTGTGTCAGTTTAGCTGACCTAAAATAACTTCTGCAACTATTTTATTTTGCTTCCCTGAATTTTGTAGCTCATAGTACAGAGCATTTAGTTTTGTGAGTTAGATTTATGCAGATTGACTCTGTACAAAGAAAAAACTGACAGAACAGGTCACCACTACAATAACGATAACCTTTCCAAAGGTTACACCTGATGACATAATCCCTTCAGATAGTATGAGCAGCAAATGAATCACAGGTATAACGCACTTTTTGAACAGCTCACATTTTTGTAATGTAGCAAAGTTCAAAACTGTTCAGCTCAAAACATTTGGTTGACAGCCGTTTCTCTAACCCTAACCCCAGCTAAAAATTAAGCGGGCGTCAAAGTTTTACGTCAAATACAGGTAGATTCGCTGGCCTGGAAGTAAATACTGCTAAAGACCACATGCACTGTGGTCCTAGCAGCTTTCATGCCAGAGTACTCTAGAGAAAAATACCTAAAGTGAATACACCTGATAAATAGATAGTATGAATAAAGTATTCTTACAGTCAACAGCATCCTTTATTAGAGGGTGAAGCAAGGCTCTTGGTGATCCGTGATGTAGATTCAGCCTAGGACGTAAAATAACACCAACACCCATGACTTCACACGTAAAGAAAACTCCTATAGATCCCCACATAACAAAAACACACATGCTACATATAATTCTACTACAGTGGAACCCCGACTTACGAATACCCCATTTAATGAAAAATTCAAGTTATGAAGGCACTTAACGGCAATATTTCTGCCTGTGTTACGGCAAAATGCCAGCATAACGAAATCCGCTGGCTCTGATTGGCTGAGCCCAGAATGCCTACAATGCCCACAATGCCTTCCGAATCATGTGACAACCCCCTTGGCTTTCGTAATTGCGCTTCGCTGTTCCACTTGAACGATGCATTGTTGTTGCAGTTAGCAATTAGCCTATAGCTAATAGAAAATTTTCGACTTACGAAAGACCCTCAGGAACGAATTAATTTCGTAAGTCGGGGTTCCACTGTACTTACCAGCATAGCAAACCCTAGTTGATTTAAACACCTTACACACAATAGTAGGTCTACATGGAGTAAAAAGCCATATCTATATGTTACACATGAATACTGATCTAAAAATTTGAAAGACCAAGCAAACTAGGTGAACTCTAAGTCCCTGGATAATATTCTGGCAGAAACTCTTTCACTCTAAATACACCTGCTCTTTAATAATCTCTTCATGAGAAAGTTCATTAATCCTTCGGCAGAGGAATTAAGAATGGACTAATCACCTTCTCTCCCCATCAGCAGCTGGGGTGTCTGGCCTGTTGGTGAAAAGCTCCAGGACAGTAAAGCCTCGTCCCAGAGCCTGATGAGAGCAGTCTGGTCTGGGTGATAATGACACCAACTCCAGAACCAACAGTGTGCTGGGTAAAGTCAAAGACGTATGGACATACAGTACCTAGAAAAAGAAACACAAGGAGTAAAAAAAGATCCGAAATTAAGCCAAAATGAAAATAACAGGGCCAATGATTTGTGGAAACCTGGTTTTGCCTCCTCTTACGTGTTGGCCATCATCATCTTGCTTTGTTTAATAGTTTTTTTAACCTATGTGTGGCATCCAAGGTGTAAATTTCTATATAACATGCAACAGCAACCTGTCAATCACAGACATCTGGGATCTAAACTGTACTGCTTAAAGAAGACAACAAAACTTTCAAATCACTTAGCTGATGAAGAGTTGCATCTACAGGTGAAAGGTACCCCAACATTTTTCGTCCTCCTTATACTTCATGACTCAGCACATGGTTTTAAAGTAAATTACACTAAACACTGTATGCAAATTAGTGTTTACATTAACACTATATTAATAAACATTTGCTTTAAAAATGTATTTTACAAAATAACAGGTTATGAATATTAATGTAATAAGGGTAACAAGTAACAGAACAATGAGAACAATAACTAGGCAAGCAAGCAATTTTAATACATGTTTTTAGATGTATGTTCCATATTTAGCACAAATTGAAAGCATAATGCAGACAGTACTAAGCTCAAGAAGGTTTATATGACATATAGCCATTAAACTGTGTGCGTATGTTGAAAATCATTTCAGGGAAATGACCTATAAACAAGTACAGATGGTGTACAATCCCCTGGTACCTACTTCAGCTTGAAGCATCAAATGTTGCTGTCATTTGAGTTACTGCAGTACAAGGATAATCAAACTAGGAACAAAATACACATTTACTATTTGGACTACGAAACCGGGATCCCGGGGACACTGAGAATAAACAGCTAAAAACAAGAAACTGATTTACCACCTTACAAAAGTACACCAGTAAAACAAATTGAAAGTTGCCATGACTACACAGCAATTCTACACATAGTTGTTCTGACTAGGATTTTTTAAGGCACATGGCTTCCCTCTCCCCAGGTCATTAATTCATTTAAAAAACAGTGAAAAAAATACCATACCACATAAAACACACAGTGCAGAGATATTTAGTGTGCACCTGGTATGCATTCACTTCAGATCACTGTGAATGAAATCAATGTGGCTATTAATAGCCACTTCATATGGCAACAAATGAAAGGTACATAAGTACAAAGAGAAAGAAACAAACAAGCCAGCAAGCCCGAAACATGGTACACAGAATAAATACGTCAACATGCAATCAAGCTTCATTCTTGAATAATATTGACAGGAAAACAGCAACAGCTGTACAGGTTGCTCACAAGCATATTTCTTTGATTTATTTAATTGCTTTGTAATTGTAACAGATTGCTTGTCTTCGTTCCAATCACGATAGCATACATCTTGTTAGATGTTTTTCTTTATTTTAAAAAGACTTCAAAATTTCTACCATTTACCATCTTCGGATTCTCTGTGGTCACTCCAAGCCCATCTGTGTCAGTCTCCATATTGCAGGTCTCTAAAAAGAATGAGCCAAACATCCTGACCAGAATACCTGATTGGCAAATCTAACATTCAAGAGGAGGGAATGTCCCCTGATAAAGAAACTCTATAGGATTATGCAGGTGAGGATGACCTTGGTTTTTTTTACTTAACTAGTTCATAAGGAACAGTGATTCAAATTCGAAATAACAGCCTACCTACAGCAGAGCCACACTGATTTACATGCACAAAGGCCTGAATAAGATAAAGAGGCCCACAAATTCTCTCTGATCCATTCGTCCCTGAGCACAATAAAGCCTGTTGTTTTTCAAAACCATAGAGAAGAACATGACGGCATCAAAAGAAAAAGAAAAAAAAACGATATAAGTAGACATGAGCTATCTTGAAATATAGAACCAATTTCTCCCAGCCTACTGAGGCAGACCCTGTTCATCTTTAGACCCAGCTATCAGCCACCACTGAGCCATTTATTCAAATTCAAAGCCTCTGAGGCATTGCTATTTCGGCCACATCGCTTTTATCTCTATGCACGGTGAGTTTAAATGACTTCTTTTCAAAATACAAACACTGGTGAATACAAATGTAAAACATGGGAAGTAAAGGTACTCGTGTGGTTTGGTTTAGTTATTTGTCTGCTTGTATCTACACCCACTAGTCTTTGCCTCATCAACAAGGAAGCTGACACTTACAGAATAGTGTGGTTCACAAACTGGTGTCTCTGCTAAAAAAGAAACTCCCTGTTGGAAGAAATTCAACAATGACATATTTCCCTTTGTTCAAAGCCTAAACATAGAAGCTGAGAACTGTTGAGGAAATCGTTTTGATCAACAAGCTTCCAATGAAGAATTTTAGAGAAACTTGTATTAAATTTTAAAATACTCAATCTGTTTTAATCCAAATCCTCCCTTATTCTCAGAAATGATGGTGTACATTTCCTCACTGAGCATTTACTCTGTTTGCTGAGCTGGAATTCAGACAGATATTTTAGCAACAACAAACACTGGCTGAGCTGAGAAAGTAAAAATATCCCACATCCCTAGATGCATGTCATTCAGTATTCATGGACTGAAAACTTTACTTTCACTCAGTTTATTTATTTCCAACCTTAACTCCCAAATCAAAGCCTCATTTTTGAACGAACTTCTTTTGAACCTATCCCCAAGTTGTATAACAAGACATTTTGGGTTTTGGG